TGGGGAAGCTGAGTACAAGGCAGCTGGGATCGTTTTGGGAGGGGAGGGATTGGATTAAGTGGGGGTTAGTTGGGGGGGCCCAAGGGGGCTCTGGGATTGATGTGGGGCAGCTAGGGGTTCTGGGTTATGTATGGGGTGCCTAGGGGTAGCTATGGGGCATCTGGAGTTAAATGTGGGGCTCCTAAGGGAGACTGAGTGGGTATGTGGAGTTTGGGTTAAGTAGGGGGGCAGAGGTCACTGTAGGGCAGCAGGAGGATCTTGGGTTGGTATGGGGAGTGGGATTCAGTGGGGTAGGTATGGGGCAGCTGTGTGCCACGAGTTAAGTGTGGGGCAGGAGGGGCTGAGGGTTGCTGTGATGCAGCTGGGGGGGGCTAAGTTAAGTGTGGGGTTGGGGCATGGGGGATATGTGGGGTGGAGGATGTGGGCGGAGTCCTGGGGTCGAGGAAACCACGAATGGTGTGGGGCCATGGATGCTGGTTGGGGGGGGCCAGCAGGGAGGCTCCAGAGATAGGATTAGGGGGGTTGGGGCAACTGTGGGACTGGGGGTCTTGGGGCAGCTGGGTGGCTCCAGTGGTAACGTAGGGCTCAGGAATGAGAGCTGGTGGGAAGGGCCCCCTGGGAGGGGGCGGGATGTGCAGATATAGCATAGGGATGGGAGCAGGGGATGCCGGCGGGGCTGGAGCTGCCGTGTCCCCCCCCCACCAGGAAGCCTGACATCCCGGTGCCATACCTGTACGTGGACATGGGGGTGGCTGTGCTGTGTGCCAGCTTCATGTCCTTCGGGGTGAAGCGCCGCTGGTTCGCCCTGGGGGCCGCCCTGCAGCTCGCTGTGGCCACGTACGCCTCACACGTCGGCGGCCAGGTGCACTACGGCGACTGGCTGAAGGTGAGACCCTCCCACACCCCCCCAGGGACTCCCTCCCCCTACCTGAGGGGCGCAGCAGTGACGGTGACCCCACAGGTGCGGATGTACTCCCGGACCATCGCCATCATCGGCGGTTTCCTCATCCTGGCCAGCGGTGCAGGCGAGCTGTACCGGCAGAAGCCACGCAGCCGCTCGCTGCAGTCCACAGGCCAGGTCTTCCTGGGCATCTACCTCATCTGCCAGGTATGGGGGGGCACTGAGGGTGGGCGACGACCTCACCGAGCCCATCCCACAGCCACAGCCCCTCTCCCGCAGGCCTACTCGCTGCAGCACAGCAAGGAGGACCGCCTGGCTTACCTGAACCACATCCTGGGTGGCGAACTCACCCTGCAGCTCCTCTTCGTGCTCTACGGCCTCCTGGCTTTGGCCTTCCTCTCTGGTTACTACGTGCGGGTGGCAGCGCAGGTCCTGGCCGTGCTGCTGCCTCTCGCCATCCTCCTCATCGATGGCAACATTGGTTACTGGCACGAGGCACGCCGCGTTGAGTTCTGGAACCAGATGAAGCTCATCGGGCAGAACGTGGGCATCTTCGGTGCCGTCGTCATCCTGGCCACCGACGGCTGAGCAGGACTGGGGATGGTGCAGACAACGGCTTGTTTTGGGTTATTTTATTTGAAGGATTGCTATTTATTATGATTTTTTTTTTTAATATGTAAATATTTGATAATAGGACGAGGTGGTGGCTGTGCCCTGCGCGCTCTCGGGGTTGCAGGAGGGGCTCCCAAGAGGCCTGAAATCCCCCACTTCCCCATTTCTGTACCAGCGGAAGGAGAAATCCTTTTACTCTGCAGAGTGGTGCCTCGTGGGGGGGCTCTGTGTGCCGCTATGGGGTGTCCCCCTCCTAAAGGTGGGGAAACTGAGGCACTGCGTGCTGCTGGTGTTCTGGCTGCCACAGTGGGCCGGCAGGGAGGGGCTGGCAGCGGGGGCCGCGTCCTCCCTGTCCCCACCGTCCCTGTCAGCACATCGGAAGCGCGTGGGGCCGAGCAAACAGGCACTGCCGGGGCTGATAGGGGCTGATAAGGGCTGCGGGGCCGTTAATGCGTCTCCGGCGGAAAGAGCAGGGCCATAAAGAGCGGGGAGGCGGCAGCGCCTGTTTGCTGTCCCTGCACGGAGCTGGGGGGGCCCCACGTCCCACCCCCCACACCCCCCCGCCACGCTGCCCCCGCTGCCGGAGCCATCGTGTGACCTTTGGAAAACGGCTGTTTGCTGTCACCTGGGGGAAATAGAGCAGAAACGTCGCCTCCGTCTTCCCGCCCCCCCGCTGCAGTCGGTGCTGGGGGGGCCACGTGGAACCGGGACCCCCCCCCTCTCCATCCTCTGCCTGAGGACATCGGTGGTGCTGCGGGCTGGGAGTGGCGCTGCTGTGGTCCCTCTGGGGGGGTGATGGGTGCCAGTCGTTGTGCCCCCCTGGGGTGGGGTGGGGGTCTGGCAGTGCTGGATCCGCCCTTGGATTGGGGACGATCCAATTACCCTCAGGGGACGCGAAAGGTGACATCGATGCGGTCGATCCCATCCGCAGAGCCCAGCTGTGGCCCCGCTTTGTGCGTGTGACACGGAGTGGCTTTGGCCACCTCTGTGCTCGTGGCTCAGCGTGACACCAAACCGGCCGTGTGAGCGCACGGCTGTGAGCCCTGCGGGGTGCGAGGCGATGCGTGCTGCTCACCGGGCTGCACGCAGCCGTGGGGCCGGGACCCCCATGGTGGCAGTGCCAAGAGCTGTGCCCATGCTGCTGCTTGGCCGGGTCACAGCAGCACAGCCAAACACCCGGCACCGCATCCCCTCATCCCATCCCTGCAGCCCTCCCTCCAAAGATACAGCTTTGCCCCCCTTCGAGGTGGTTCTGTTGACCCCCCCCCGGTTGTGCGTCACGTCCCAGACAGGTGATTGCTCATTAATACCTAATCCATAATGAATTAACGCGGGGAAGGGGGTGTGAGGGGGGAGCAGAAAGGGCAGCTCATCCATCCTGGAGAGGTGGTGGCAGTGATGCAGTGACGGTGCTGCGTGGCTCCGTGCTCTGCTGTGTGCTGAGGGGGGAAACTGAGGCAGCAGAGGTGCTGTGTGCTGCCCTGCCCGCTGCCCCAGGGCTGGCCGTGCCCGTTGTCCCCGTGTGTGATTGATGTCCCCCTGTCAGTGTGCCACTGTCACCTCCTGTGCCTCTCGCGTGTGTCGTGGCTGTGTTGCTACTGTGGCTGGGTCCCCGTGCCATGTTTGTGTCTTGTTTGTGCCATGTTGGTGCCACATCCATGCCGTGCCCCTGTGCCATGTCTGTCATGTTTGTGCCATGTTTGTGCCACATCCATGCTGTGTCTCTGTGCCGTATCTGTGCCATGTCTTTGCCATGTTTGTGCCATGTCTGTGCCATGTTGGTGCCACATCCATGCTGTGCCCCCGTGCCATGTCTGTGCCATGTCTGTGTCATGTTTGTGCCTTGTTTGTGCCACATCCATGCTGTGTCTCTGTGTCGTATCTGTGCCATGTCCCTGCCATGTTTGTGCCATACTTGTAACGTGTGCCTGTGCTGTGTCTGTGCCATGTTTGTGTCATATCTGTGCCACTACTGTGCCATTTCCATGTGCCATATTTGTGCCATGCTTGTGCCGTGTCTCTATGCTGGGTCTGTGCCATGTCTGTGCCATATCCATGCTGTGTTTGTGCCATGTCCATGTGCCATGTTTGTGCCATGTCTGTTCCATGTCTGTGCCATGTTTGTGCCACATCCATGCTGTGCCCCTTGTCATGTTTGTGCCACGTCTGTGCCATGTTTGTACCTTGTCTGTGCCATGTCTCTGCCATGTTTGTGCCATGCTTGTGCCATGCTTGTGCCATGTCCCTGTGCCATGTTTGTGTCATGTCTGTGCCATGCCTGTGCCATGTCTGTGCCGTGTCCCTGTGCTGTGTTTGTGCCATGAACCTGTTCTCTATCCATGTGCCATGTTGGTGCTGTCCCTGTGCTGTATCCCAGTGCCATATCTGTGCCATGCTCTCGTGTCCCTGTGCCACATCCGTGCCATGTTCCTATGCCATGTTTGTGTCATATCTGTGCCATATCTCTGTGCCATGTTGGTGCTGTGTCTGTGCCATGCCCCAGTGCCACATCTATGTCCCTGTCCCTGTGCCATGTATGTGCTACAGCCATGCTGTTTCCCTGTGCCACATCCCTGTGCCATGTTCCTGTGCCATGTCTGTGCCATATGTCTGTGCCATGTCTGTGCTGTGTCCCTGTACCACATCCGTGCCATGTCCCTGTGCCATGTCCCTATGTCACAGCCACATCTGTGTGCTGTGTCACCTCCCTGTGCCTCATCCATGCCCCATCCGTGTGCCACGTCCCTGTGCCATGTCTGCGCCACTCCATGCTGTATCCCTGTCCTTTATCTGTGCCACGTCCCTATGCAGTCTCTGTCCTTTGTGCCATGTTTGTGCCACATCCCTGTGCCACATCTACACCCCCTCCCTGCACCGCGTCCATTCCGTGTCCCCGTGCCACATCCATGTGTCCCACGGTGCCACGTGTGCATGTGACATTGTCCCCAACACCTTTCACCATTCCCCCATCCGTGCACCGCACTGGGGCACAAGGAATGCTGCAGAGCCGGGGGTGGGGGCTGCGTGGTCCTTGCTGTGGTGGGTCGGTCACGGCAGACAGAGGGAGGGAGGAGCCGGGGCCCCCCCGGAGGCTATAAAAGCAGGGAGGGCACAGCAGCTGGTGTGTCCCCTGTGCTGTCACCCCGCTGCCTGGCACTGTGAGTATGGGGGCAGATGGAGGGGCTGCTGGAGATGGAAGGATCCCCCTGGGGATGGGGATGTTTGAGGGGGGGTTGTGAGATGGGGAGATGTGTCCTTGGGGGTCTGTGGGGGGAAGTTGTCCTATGGAGGAAACCAAAGGTGGGAGCGCAACATTGAGAGGGGCTGGGAGGAGGGGGGACATTTCTTTGGGGGTCTGCGGGGGGAACCTGTCCTATGGGGGAAATGGGGGTCCTGGGGGTGGGAGCGCAACCTCGGAATGGGTGCTGGGTGGGGGAAGAGTTTTCCTTTGGGAG